AAAACTAAACATTGTATCAATAAATTCTGAAGTCTTATTATGGTCGTTTACCTTCAATAGATCAATGTTAAAATCACCACAAAAAAAGTCACCTTCTCCTTGTGTTTTTCTAATATTACAGAAATTTCTTTAGTAAACTGATCTATACAGGATGCAGGTGTACGATAAATGCAGCTAACTTGGTTCTATGGTACGTCTTAAAGGGTTAAAAGGGGAAGTAAAAAGGGGAAGTTGGCCGCACCCAGTAGCTCTTAGCTGAATCAATATCTGCTGGTACAATTTTGATAAAAAAAACAAATGGTTTCAACTGCACAAACCAGCCAGTCCTGACACCTAGAAATTCTCTCAGTTTCCACTGAAACAAAATAATATGGCACACCAACATTTACTGTGGAAATTCTCACTCTTCTAAATAACCGTGCTGTGCCAGAACTTGGGCTAAGCCTTCACGCAGTTCTACACAATCAGCCAGGAAGCTGGGAAACTCTGGTTCGGTTAAAATCTCTGCTCTAGAAAAATCAAACTCTCTATCTGATGTTTCACAACAAACCAACACCTCCACTAACACCTCTCCGGGCTCCCCATGAGTGACAGGTGTCAGCAAAATAGTGAAGGTAAAACCAGTTAATGTGCTTGAATTAAAAGTCTGATAGGGGAACCTTTCCTCGATTCACTGTGCAGAATCCTTTTTTTTTTTTTTTTAAAGACAAGGAAACTCACTCAAATAATTCTATAAATTCTCTGCAATCAGGAGGATGCTCACACCTTCATTTATTACTACGTTTCTGGTTTGATCAACGTGCCTGTCACATTAAAATTTAAAAGGAGAAGTGACCGCACCCAAGTTTTAACTCCGCACTTTCTTAACCAGAAAGATAAGAAAGGAAAAAGAGACTTCAAAGCCTCACACACACATAACCTGCTTCCAGTGGCACTTAAATCATTTCAGACAGTTTCTTACGTCACACGTCACAGCGAATCCGGATATCAACACAGCTGCACGTCTTTTGTGAGACCTCAACCGGTCCGCAGACTTTGAGGAAATATCAACAGAAACACGGCTTTTTACGGACCACAGCGGATCTTCACAGACACAGGTAATGCTTTAATCATCTCTCATAACCCGCAGTAATATTATCAGAGTTACTTCAACACGGTAAACCTTGGTTTCCTTCTGGCTCACTTTACTGTTACGCTCAAGCTCACGGCTGGCTTGAGTTCTCTTAAATCATATGTCAACTCCTCGGACCTCTGCGTCCGGTATTACTCTTTTTCTCACAAATAAGTGTCTCCCAAAATGATCCTCTGATCAAAACCTTTTTTTAAACCAAGGTCCCAAGTCTTGGTAGATGGTCAATCTCCAGTACGGCCACGCCGGATCACCTACTGGACGTCTCCAGTAGGGAGGAAGTCTGCACTTCTGAACTTGACACTTATTAAACCATAAACTGACCAATAACTCTTATATTCTCTTATTCTTTAATCATATAGCAGTGGGGTACACGCCCCCCCATGGCGTCAATCACAGATTAAAATAGTTTAAAGACATTAGTCACAGTTAATGGTACATCTTGTACATCTTTAATGGCTATAAACAGACATAGAACTTCTCTTTTCTATAACATCTTCCATACAAGGTAATAAACTTCAAGCCCTCAGGGTCTCTGGGGCTAATTATTGACTCTGGTCATCTGTTGCCAAGTAGAGTAAAATATAGTGAGACACCAAATGAGTTAAGGCCTCAGACCTGCCTAGATTATATGTGTTATATGTATTTGTAAGCATGCATGCAATCATCCTTCTATGTTCTAGTTTCCCTCAGTCTAGTTTCTAGTTGATGTTCTCCTCAGTATCTTACCTAACCACACAAGACTCTTTCTGTTTCATCTGGATAAACATAATTTGTTATCACTTTATGATTATGATTATGATTATATTTTGATGAAGAACAAATCTGGAAATTGAAAATTCCAAAGTGGAACAACTTTTGTCAACTTCTGTGCAGTTACAAAGCATGGAGTCCACAATTTTTGATGGCATCACAAAGATGCTCAATATTAGACTGTTGTTGGTCTCCGTGCATATTGTTTCATCGTCTTACAAAATTATCTCTCTGTGTTGTAATGCAGTCTTTTCAGGTTAAATAGAGATCAATTATGATTAATGATACTGTATTTGAGCACCACTTCATCTTTCTATATGTCATATTGATCTGAGTCTGTGCCAGTTTGTATTATGATTGAATTCTGAGTATTTGTCTTTTTGCAGATTTGGGTCTGGCAGATCTTCAGTCACTTCGAGAGCAGAAGACATTAAGTTGACTGCACATCATTTCAAAGATTAGCTTTTTTACAACTAGAAAAATAACTTTTCCATTGTAAGTTCACAAAATAATATACAACACAACAGGAAATGTCTGGGTTTTTTAAAGAAGGAGGTGGCTCCATAAAGCTTTCAGATGCTGTTAAAATAAAAGTCAGCAAACCACTTGAAACGCCACCAGGGTTTCTCCCAGTTTATATGGTTCACCTGGAAAAGAACATGACATTCAATGTCGATGGATGCAAGAGTTTCAGTATTGGAGAAGAGTCCAGTAAACCTAATCGCACCATAATGCTTATGGGCGCAACCGGTGCTGGGAAGACAACTCTCATCAACGGGATGATCAATTACATTTTAGGTGTTAAATGGGAGGATCCATATCGCTTTAACTTAGTGAATGAAACTCAGTCAACATCACAAGCTCACAGTCAGACCTCTGAAGTCACTGTGTACAAAATCAACCACCAGGAGGGATTTCAAATCCCGTTCTCTCTGACCATTGTGGACACTCCAGGCTTTGGAGATACAAGAGGCATAGAAAGAGACAGAGAAACTGTAGAGCAGCTACGTAATCTCTTCACTTCCCCACATGGTGTCAGTGAAATCGATGCTGTGTGTTTTGTAGCTCAGGCTGCTTTAGCACGACTCACAGCAGCACAAAGATATGTGTTTGATTCAGTGCTCTCAATCTTTGGCAAAGATGTGGCAGAAAACATCAGGGTTCTGGTGACATTTGCAGACAGTCAACGACCATCAGTTCTAGAGGCGATCAATGCTGCAGGAGTCCCATGTCCTAAAACAAAAGACGGACTGCCGGTTCACTTCAAGTTCAATAACTCAGCACTGTTTGCAAATAACAAATCAGCTGTAGCAGAAAGCATGAGTGATGATGATGATGATGATGATAATGATGATGATGAAGAGGACTTCAATCAGATGTTTTGGGAGATGGGGACGAAAAGCATGAAGAGGTTTTTTGCTGCTTTGAATAAAATAGAAACCAAAAGCTTGACACTGACAAAGGAAGTCCTCAGAGAAAGAAAGCAGCTCGAGATTTCAGTTGAGAATCTGCAGTTGCAGGTGAAACTTGGGTTAGCCAAGCTTGAGGAGATAAAAGAGACGAGGGAAAAAATTAAAAACTGCAAGGCAGAGATCAGCAGAAATGAAAGCTTTGAGTTTGAAGTTTCTGTTAAAATCCCTGTTCAGAAGGATATTTCGAATCGTGGAAACTACATCACGAATTGCAAGCAGTGTCATTACACCTGTCACTACCCTTGCCAGATAGCAAATGATGCAGATAAACGTGGCTGTGCAGCAATGGGGCCAGATGGATACTGTACAGAGTGCCCAGGGAAATGCATCTGGAATGTACATTATAATCAGAAGTATAAATGGGTGTATAAAGAAGTTAAAGAGAAACGAACAATAAAGGAGCTGAGAAAAAAGTACTTGAAGGCCAAAGGAGAGAAGATGACTGTTCAAGCACTGGTTGACAAACTGAATGCTGAGTACGACTGTTTGCAGGCTGAGGTGGTGAAACTGGTGGAGAGATCTGCAGAGTGTCTGAACAGACTTAAAGAGATAGCACTGAAGCCAAACCCTCTGTCCACTCTAGAGTACATCGACATGCTTATTGAAGGAGAGAAATCTGAGGCTAAACCAGGCTGGAAGCAACGAGTTCAGTCTCTGATGTCCATGAAGGAAAAAGCAGAGCTCATGGCTCACGTGGAGAAATGTAATTAAACATTTCTTGATGCTACATCTTTGACAATTCACAAATAACATAAGGTAAATAAAGACAGAAGTAGCATCAAATATTTAGAGGCATTAAATCTCAGCCAGCAACAGCAATATTAAGTAATTTTAAGTTTTTACCACTTGTGCAATTCTAAATGTTTTTTTTTTTTACAGTTTAATGCTTTATCATTTTTTTACATCACTTTAGACAACATAAAACCCAAATAACATACAACAGTGATCACAACATAACTGTTTTATTTCTTCATTCAATTATTTTATTCCCTCTTAACTGTTTATAATGCCTGACACACACACTGTGTTCTCCACGTTTTAAACCTGCTTAATGTTTTTATGTCATAAAATGCAAATATCATTGATATAAGAGATTTTTATTCTGAGTTACATGTTATGTCTATTCTTGTAATAGCCTGCTGAATGATGGTGACATCATTAAATAATAAACTTTGATAAACTTGAGAGCACATAAGCTGTTGTCTGTCGTGATCCTTCATTGCACAGATTGGCATCTCACTCACTCTGTACTGCAGTCAGTGTAGAAATGATGGTAACTCGAGTTATAAACGGGTGACAAACAGTCACTGTTAATATTTTGTCCTAGTATTTCTACTTCTCAGGTTTTGTGTTTTGAGCTCTTTCTGTTCTGTGTCTCTGTTCCCTCCCTGTTGCCATGTCTGATAGTGTTAAGCTCGTGTCTGTGCATACCTGTTGTATTGTGTGTACACCACGTGTAAGTAAAGCTCACTCGTTGCACATAAGCCAGTGCCTGCATTTGGGTCTCTCTCTCTCCACTTCACACAGCTGTGAAACTGGACAAATTATTATTATTATTTTTTTTTTATTAATGATATAGTTTCAAATGGTGACAAGTGACATAAAAATTACCAAAATATGACGTAAATTGCTTCATACAATGCCGTGAGAAAAACTCCCTTTAATCTTAAGGGGCAATATGACCAAATTCCTCATTTCTGTAAGTGAGTAAAATGTCTGCAGATTGAGTTACCACCAAATAATAATAATAATGTTGGGCTAGTCTGTGAACATGCAGACTAAGGGCAAAACACTGACTTACACCGTTGCCCCCAAATAATTATATTTTCACAAATTTACGACAAAGCAAAACTATAAATACTCATCTTCTAGAGTGTTTCCAATGATAATACCTGACATGGCCTATTGCCCTGCTGTAAATTTCCTCATAGGTTATACAGTGCAATAATGATGCTTTCTGAAGACGCTTCTCACAATCCAGTTTCTTTTTTTCTTAAAACAGTAAATATTATCATGACCTTAACAAAAATGTGTCATATCCACACATCCATCCAATTCAGACTGCGGGGAGGCTCAAATCCATCACAACTCCAGTACGGCAAAAGCAAGAGGCGCAGAACACCTAGTAAAAAGATTTAAAGGCTGATAATCCACAAACACGTTTATTCAATGAATTTTCTTCATTGGATATATATATATATATGTATATGTATATTAGGGGTGCAACAATACTCGTATCGATATTGAACCATTCGATACAGTGCTTTCGGTTCGGTACGCATATGTATCGAACAATTCAAAATGTTTAATTCATTTTATCAACTTTTCTTCTGACGATGCTGTCTGTGTTGAGCGCTCAGTGGATCTGCG